CGGCGGCGGGGAGGCTCCGGGGAGCGGCGACAGCGACGGGGACAGCGGCGGAGGGGCCCGGCCCCGGCCCCAGCCCTCCCGGTGAGTCCCGGACCCGATCCCGGAGCCGTGCCCGAGCCGTGCCCTGGGTGGCTTTGGGCTCTCGGGGTGGCACCGTGGTGGCACCGGGGGCGCCCTCGCCCTTCGCAGCCCTCCCGCTGCGCTCCGGTGGCACCGGGGGGGTCCGAGCTGTGCTTGGGGGCCGGTCACCCCCCTGCCCTACAGCCCGAGGGGGGCACGGCCGTGCCGATCCCATTCCCGGGTTCCCTTTGCTCCGCTTCCCCGCAGCGCCGGGGGCTCCCCGAGCTCTTTCCCAACTCCCCCGCTGGGCTCCCGGGGATTGCGCAGCTTCCCGTGGCTCCGGGATGCCTCCGGGATGCCTCCGGGAACGGGTCTGGGCTGCGTGGGCTCCGGGCGTTGCCCCTGCTCGGTGACTCCCGGTTGCCGGTTTTGCTTGCCGGGCACCTGCCCTGCCCTTCCTGCCCACTCGTGGCCCCGTGGGAGGCAGCGCCAAGGTGCTCGGCCCCAGCCCCGAAAGCCAAAAGTTATGGGGTGGGAGGGCTCAGCCCTAAATGAGCCCCAAGGGTGGTGCCCCAAACCCTTTGGGGTGCTCACGGGGCTGTGTCCCCTGGCAGGGGCTGGCTGGGCCGGTGTCCCCGGCTGCGCACCCTCCTGCTGGAGCTGCTCCTCGTCTACGTCTCCGTGCCCTTCCTCATCCGCCTCTTCCCCGTCATCCTCACCAAATTCATCTTCCTCAACTTCCGTGAGTGCCCCGGCGGGGAGAGCTCCACCTGGGCGAGCTTTTGGGGTGCCGCTTTTGGGGTAGGAGGGCCGGGATGGGGTGGGGGGGAGTCCACTCTGATGGCACGGGGCCAGCCCCCAGCTGCAGAAGCGGCTCTCCCCGTGGCACGCTGTGTTTTGTAAGCGTTTTGTAAGGCGCTGACACCAGCCCTATTTGCTGCCCGGGGTTGCGACACGCGTGGGCACACGAAAACATCCGTGGGACGAAGCCTCGAGGTGGCCGAGGGCCGTCCTCCGGTGGTGGTGGTGGCACAACCCTGGGCTTTGGGGTGAATTATTGAATGAAACAGCACCGTGCAGCTGCGGGAGGTGCACAAAATCGGCTGGGTTATGGGGTTCCCGGGTGCTGATGACCCCCATGTCCCCCCCAGTGGCCTTCCCCTTCTTCACGGACCTGCGGCAGCCGGCGCTGCTGCTGAACAACACGGTCAGCCTGCGCCTCGCCACCGAGCCTGGCGTCTCCGTCGGCATCTGGTGAGCAGGGCTGGGCCTCCTCCTCCTCCTCTTCCTCCTCCTCTTCCTCCTCCTCCTCTTCCTCTTCTTCCTCGTCCTCCCCCGGTGGAGGACCACAGCCCCCGTCCGTCCCCGCAGGCACACGGTGCCGGGCAGCAGAGGGGCCGAGGCGCGGGGCCAGGAGCAGAGCTGGTACGAGGAGGCGCTGGGCGATGCTCACCCCATTATCATCTACCTGCACGGCAACGGGGGCACCAGGCGAGTACCCGAAGGCTGTGGTGACATCCTGGGGGGGTGGCAGCTGCCCTCCCTTCGCATGGGTGGTGCGCAGGTTTGGGGACCTGTGTTTGGGCGTTGAACCCGATGAGACCTCGCACGCGTCCTAGTGGTGCTGTCCTAGGGGATGGGATCTGGGTGCTTTGGGGACTTCTTTGCTCCCAGGGTATGGGATCTGGGTGCTCTGGGGTCCCCTTTGCTCCTAAGATATGGGATCTGGGTGCTCTGGGGACTCCTTTGCTCCTAGGATATGGGATCTGGGTGCTCTGGGGTCCCCTCTAGCTCTCAGGGGACAGGATCTGGGTGCTTTGGGGTCCCCTCTAGCTCCCAGGTGATGGGATCTGGGTGCTCTGTGGTCCCCTTTAGCTCCCAGGATATGGGATCTGGGTACTCCGGGGTCCCCTCTAGCTCTCAGGATATGGAATCTGGGTGCTCTGGGGTCCCCTCTAGCTCTCAGGGGACAGGATCTGGGTGCTTTGGGGTCCCCTTTAGCTCCCAGGTGATGGGATCTGGGTACTCCAAAGTCCCCTTTAGCATCTAGGGGACAGGATCTGGGTGCTCCAGGGTCCTCTTCAGCACCCAGATCCCATCCCCTGGAAGTTCTGGGGTCCCCTTTAGCTCCTGGGGTACAGGACCTGGGTGCTCTGGGGTCCCCTTTAGCTCCCAGATTATGGGATCTGGGTGCTTCAGTATCCCCTTTAGCACCCAGATCCCGTCCCCTGGAAGTTCTGGGGTCCCCTTTAGCTCCTGGGGTACAGGATCTGGGTGCTTTGGGGTCCCCTTTAGCATGCAGCTGTCCCTCGTGCGACCCAGCCCTGGTGGTGACGGTGTCCCCAAGCCGGCTGTGCCCCGGCCGAGCGGGGGAAGCCCCCTACCCCCTGCACACCCCGATTTTTATCCTCGCGTTCCCCATCAGGGCTGCGAGCCACCGGGTCCAGTTCATGAAGGTAAGTGGGGACCGGGACGTGCCGGGCACTCGGCTCGTGCTGGCTTTGGGGACACGAGGTGGGGACATAATTTTGTGCCACCCCTCCACCAGCTGATGGGGGCTGCCGACTTCCACATCGTGGCTCTGGACTACCGAGGTACGGCCACCCCCTGCCCCTCATTGAGCCATGCCCTGGGGACCTGGGGACCGTCCCCTCGGGGCCGTGACCCCCCCAGACGTGTCCCCTACAGGTTATGGGGACTCCAGCGGGTACCCCACGGAGAGCGGCTTCACCACCGACGTCCTGGCGCTCTACGACTGGGTCAAGGCGCGGAGTGGGAACAGCAGCATCATCTTCTGGGGACACTCCTTGGGGACCGGGTAGGTGTGGGGGCAGGTGAGGGGCATGCCGTGGGTACCCCCCTTTCACCCTCATCTCTTTTTCTTGTAGGATCGCGACGAACGCGGCCAGAAAGCTGCAGGAGGAGCGAGGTAACCTCCAGGGCTGGGTTGGCTGCGTGCCGCTCACCAAATTTTAGGGGTCCCCATGGCTCTGCTTGAGCATCGGGCGGGGACAAGCCGCTGTCCCCATCCTCCTTGACCCCAAACCTCCCCAGCAATGCTGACTCCCACCCCGTGCTGCTCTCAGGGGTCCAGGTTGATGCCATCGTGCTGGAGTCACCCTACAACAGCATCCGCGAGGCGGCCGCCCACGTCCCCATCACCACGGTGAGCCCGGTGGCCCTGCGTGGTGGCTGTCCCCGCTGCCCCCTCACCCCATCAGCGGCTCAGCCAGCATCCCGCTCTCTCCCGGGCAGATTTACCGGCAGTTCCCGGGTTTCGAGTACCTCATCTTGGACTCCATAGCTCTGGCCAACATGTTCTTCCGCAACGATGAGAAGTGAGTGCCCAGCGAGGGGGCTGGGGCGGGCATCTCGTGCCACCGCTGCAGCGTGCGCTGTGTTTGCTCAGCTTACTCATGCCTCAGAAGTGCCTTTTATTGGGTGCAAGGTCAGAAATCCACATTATTATCGGGCTACGTCACCATTTGATGGCCTTTTATTTTCGCTCCGTCAAGCGCGGTGCGCTCGCATCCCACCCCACGCGCTGTGGGGTCCTCCTGCCTTGGTGTTTGTGGGCACCTCTGCAAAAAGCTGCCTGGTTTGGGGGTGATTTTGCAGTCACAGCACCCCCAAATGGTGTTTAAGGTTATTAAGATCTCGAGGGGAACAGTTTCTGGTTCACCCTGCAGTGCTGCCCTGGACACCAAAGGGCTGGATTTGGGGTGAGGGACATCGGGGATGCTCAGTGGGGTGAGGGGGGCTCTGGACTGACCCCAACACCGTGCCTGCCCCCCCGCAGCGTGAAGGTGCTGGCCTGCCCGCTCCTCATCCTGCACGCAGAGGACGACGCCGTGCTGCCCGTGCAGCTGGGACGCAAGGTGGGCACCGGGGGGGCTGCGGGTGGTCCAGGGAGAGGGTTTGGGACCCCCGTGGGGGGGTCACCAACCTGAGGAGGGGCCATGCACGCCCCTAACCCTGCTCCCACCCAGCTCTTCGAGACGGCACGCGGCGCCTACAAGGACAAGAGCAAGGTGAAGTTCATCACCTTTCCCAAAGAGCTGGGCCTGGGCCACGACTACATCTCCTCCAACCCTGAGCTGCCCGCCCTGGTCAAGTGAGTGCTGCCCCGTGGCAATGTGGGGGCGCAGGACGAGCCTCCCGGGGTGCATCGTCCCCTGCAGCAACCGTGCAGGTCCCTTCCCTGTTTTCCTTCCCGTCCCCATGGGGTTTGGTGGCATTTTTCGAGCCCCGATGGCTCCTCGTGGCACAGGGAGGTGGCACAGGGACGGCACGGGGACGCAGCTTGGCTCAAAGCGCAGCCCAGCCCCACCCCCAGGGACACGAAATGATGCTCTGGAGCAGCACAGGAGGGTCGGTGGCACAGCGCGAGGTTTATTGCGTCTCGTTGCAGGGACTTCTTGAACATGAAGTGACGCCAGCCCCCGCCTGCAGCCCCCCTGAGCACTCCCCCGCCACGCCCCGCGCCAGGAAGCCGGCACAGCACTGACCGTACTTCTGTACGTAATAAACTACTGAGAAACCTCCTAATGCTGCCTCGAGGATGCTGCAGGATGCTCGGGGGATGGAGATATCGCTGCTGGGGATGGGACAGCGCCGTGACATTGCTGCTACAGGGACAGGACGGAGCAAGCAGGAGCGGGGGGCGCTGCGCGGGGCAGGGTGCGGGTGGCTGCAGGGCACGGTGAGGGTGCAGGGGGTGCGTTGCCAACACTCCTTGCCTCCTCCCCTCCCTGGAGCTGACGCCTTACGACCAGCAAGAGCTGCACCCCAAAACCCAAACCCTGTTTTGGCATCGCGAGGACCCAGCTGCGCTCCCCACCCCGTGCCACGCGCAGCCCTCGTGCGCCCGCTTTCGGCTTTAGCTTTGCTGCAAGCAAGCCCAGCCCCTCGGCTCAGGTTCCAGTAAACACCCCTCCGGCTCTGCTCGGCACTTTTATTTTTAGTACCTACCGCAAGCAACAGGGCAGAACAGTTTTGCTTTTCCCTATAAAACTCCCCCAGCAGCAGCAGCAGCAGCAGCACCCTCCAGGTACCCCCGCTACGCCCGCGCCTCCGTCCCGTTGGGGGTCCCGTCCTCGGCCACCTCCCTGGGCTCGTTGGGCGGGGGGATTTTCAGGTCGGAGGGCTCCACGTGCCAGATGTCCCGGGCGTACTCCTTGATGGTGCGGTCGCTGGAGAACTTGCCCGCCGCCGCGATGTTCCTGATCACCATTTTGGTCCACGCCTTGGAGTTCTGGCGAGAGCCACGGGGATGGAGGTGGCACCCGCGGGGACCTGGCCTCCGAGCCCGTCCCCACCGCCCCACCGTGCCAGATCCCTTCCCCGGGATGGGGAGACAGGTTCCTGGGCTGGTTCCCCAGCTGGCACTCACCAGGTAGAGCTCGCTGACTTTCTCCTGGCACTTGACATAAGCCTCGTAATCCGCAAAGACTTTGAACCTGCAGCAGCAAGGGAAGGGGGAAATAGGGAGAAGAGGAACGCGCGGGTGGGAGCGAGTCTTGGTGGGCAGCTCGGGCTGCCAGGGCCACACGAGGTCATCACCCAAACACAGCCTAGCCCTAAAGTAACCAAACTTTAAGGCAGCACACATCTAGTGCCACCCATAGGGAGGCTTTCGGACCTGGGGAACATGAATTGCTCAACGCCAGGGTCAGGAACGGGGGTGTTATCGGGTGGATGGCTGGGGGAGGGGCTGCTCCCCACGGGTACGTGGTGTCTGGGGGGGGACCCAGCCCCGGGGACGGGTTCGTGGCCTCACCGGTCGTGGTGGAAGAGCATGTTGACCACATCTTTGAAGAGGTCGGGCTCGTTGGAGGAGAAGAAGCCACTTTTGATCTGGTCAACAGCTTGCTTCAGCTCGGGGAGCCGGTCGTAGTACTGCTGGGCATCGTACCTGGCGGGGCAGGTTTGGGGTGAGCCGGGGGAGCTTCGGGTTCCCCGCAGTGACCCCACCAACACCTCCCAGTCCTCACCCTTCCCTGTCCAGCTCCGCGACGTCCTCCACCCTCATGCCGAAGATGAAGAGGTTCTCCTCGCCCGCCTCCTCGGCCATTTCCACGTTGGCCCCGTCCATGGTGCCGATGGTCAGGGCTCCGTTCAGCATGAACTTCATGTTCCCCGTGCCCGACGCCTCGGTGCCCGCCGTGGAGATCTGCTCCGACAGGTCGGTCGCGGGGATCACTGCCAACAAGAAGATGCACCGAGCCACTTGAGGTGACGCCAAACCTGCTCTCAGGACTTTGTCTCAGTCCTGCTGAAGGATTTTAGAGCTTCTGCCCCGTGGGGACGGAGCCACGGGCTGGAGAGCCGCTGCGCCCTCCCCGCCTGGCACACCTTTCTCCGCCAGGGAGACCCGGTAGTTCTCCAGGAAGATGACCTTCAGCTTGCTGCCCACAACAGGGTCGTTGTTCACCACCTGAGCCACGGCGTTAATGAGCTTGATGATCATTTTGGCCATGTGGTAGCCCGGGGCAGCCTAGGAGAAGGGCTATGGGTGAGCCTGGCGCATTGGGGCAGGCGAGGAGCACCCAGCACCCACGTGCCCAAGTCAGCGGGGACCCACTGAGGACAAAACCTGCACCCAGACCCCTTAGGGCATTTCCAAGGGCTTCCCCCAAACCCAAATTACCTTGCCCCCGATGATCACCGTCCGAGGAACAAACAGCTTTGTAGGATCCCTCTTGATGCCTGGAGGAGAGGGCAGGATGGGGGTCACCTCCGTGCCAGCTGCTGCCCCGGGGGCCAGGGATGCTCCTGCACCCCCGGGCATGCTGTGGGTCCCTGCAGGGACCATGGTGGCTTACGGTTGTACATGGTGATGATGTGCAGGCAGTTCATCAGCTGCCGCTTGTACTCGTGGATCCTCTTCACGTGCACGTCGAACATGGACGAGGGGTTGATCTTCACCTTGTACTCCTTCTCCAGGTACAGCGCGAACTTCACCTTGTTCTCCTGGCCGAGGGGGCGGGGAGGGCGTCAGCCCCCTGCTCCCCAGCATCCGCACCCCGTGTGCGTGTGCCCCCCTCACCTGCTTCACTTTGGCAACCTCGCGGATGAAGAGGTCGTCGTCCACAAAGTCGTGCAGCTTCGCCAGCTGGCTCAGGTCCCGCACGTAATCCTCCCCGATTTTCTGCAGGAGGAGAAGAGGAGAAGGACTCGGGCGAGATGCCGATGGAGGGCGAGAACCCCAGGGGGATGGATTTGGGGCTGGGAGCCCCCCTGGGTTATACCTCGGCGATGAGCTCCGCCAGCCCCGGGTTGCAGAGCAGGAGCCAGCGCCGCGGGGTGATGCCGTTGGTTTTATTCTGGAATTTCTCGGGCTCCAGCTCCGCAAAATCCTTGAAGCTGCGAGGACGAGGGGAGAACGGCGTCACCGCAGCGTCTGGGAGCTGAGGGGGGATCCCCCAGTGCCTCCCCTTCCCCCCTTGCCCTTACACTTGGGTCCTGACTATCTCGGAGTGGATCTTGGCCACGCCGTTGACGGCGTGGGAGCCGACGATGCAGAGGTGAGCCATGTTGATCCTCTTGGTGCCCCCCTCCTCGATCAGCGACATGCGCCGCAGCCGGTCCACGTCGGCGGGGAAGAGGGAGGCGATGTGCTGCAGGGGGGAGGCAGGGGAGGGGGTGACGGTGAGCCACCCCCTTGGGTGCCCTGCTGCCTCCCGTGGGTGTCTCTGGACACCCAGACCCCTCTGGCCCCACAGAGAGGGGCTGGGGGGCACCCGTGGGGCTGTTCCAGCTCAGCTGCAGCTCAGGGGGCCAAGCCACCAGCTCCACTCTCACCCTCATCCTTCCCCAGGATGAATTTAGGGTTTAAAGAAGAACTCACGTCCAGGTGCCTCTGGTTGATCTCGTAGATGATCTGCAGGTGTCTGGGGAGCAGCTTCTCCACCAGGTCCACCGGCCACCTCTCCAGGGCCTCGGGGAGCACCGTGTGGTTGGTGTAGGCGAACGTCCTCTTGGTGATGTCCCAGGCCTGCGGGCAGCAGCACGAAGCCCTGAGCGCCCACCCGGGTGGGCAGCGGGGCCAGGATCGTCCCTCTCCAACAAGAGGAGGTGGAGACGGGGAAGATGTGAAGATGGGAAGGAAGAGTTCAACACAACGGGGGAATAAAAAGCCATGCAGCTGCTCCCCCACCTTGTTCCAGGGCAGCTTCTCAATGTCCACGAAAATCCTCATCAGCTCGGGGATGGCCATGGCAGGGTGCGTGTCGTTCAGCTGGATGGCGACCTGCAGGGAGACAGAGGGTGGCACTCGGGGACACCCCGTGGAGCCCACAAAACCTGCCCGGAGCCGGGCACGGAGCAGGGAGGTGGCAAATGGAGCAACCCCGGCCCCTACCTGGTCGGGGAAGGAGTCAAACACGGTGCGGACGCTGTCTGTGCTGCCGAATTTGGAGGCTTTGAAGCGGCGGAGGATGTCCTGCAGGGTGGCGGCCACCACGAAGTACTCCTGCTTCAGCCGCAGCTCCTTGCCCTCGAAGAACTGCCGGGGAGAGGAGCGGGGAGCTGCCGGGGCCGGTGGGGTCACACCGTGCCCCCGAGCACGCTGCTGCGCCCAGGGAAGGGCTGGGGCCACATCGCATCGTGTCACATCCTCGTGTCACATCGTGTCACATCAGCGTGTCCCCGTGCACGGCAGAGCAGCCATGCAGCAAAAAATGCCCCTAGGAATGGGGTTAGGGTGGCTCGAGGCATCGCTGAGCGCCAGGGAAATTTCATATTTTGGGGATTTGAGGAATAATTCTTCAGCAGGACGTGCTCCTCTCCTCGCTGTGCCCAAGCATGGGCTCGTCCCTGCTGCAGCAATCCCTGACCGGGGGCACCTGGAGGTTTGCAGCCCCCCTAAAGCCCCTCTGCAGCACAACAAACCCTCTCCACCCATCCTAAAAACACCCCCAGACCCCAACTTACGTTGTCGTTGGGGTAGAGGACGCGGGAGATGTTCTCAGCCAGGTTTCTGTCCAGCACCGCCTGGATGTAATCCCCGACGTTGACTGCGGGGCAACAAAGGGATGGGGTTGGGGTGACCCCACTGCTCCCTGACCCCCTCAGCCCCCCCCAGCCCCCACTTACAGTCCCGCAGGTTGAAGTCGTTGGGGGCCCGGGCCGACCACAGCCTCATGGTGTTGACGGTGTTGTTCATGTAGCCGGGCACCGGCGTGTCGTAGGGCAGCGCCAGCACCACCTAGGGCATTGGCAGGGCTGCACAGTCCCCGTGTCCTAATGGAGCCCCCCCAATCCCAAATGGGGTTGCCCCCAGCCGGGGCTGCGTGCACAGTGCCACCCCAGTTACCCTCAGTTCCCCAAAATCCCCCCCAAAAATAGAGAGGTGCTCGTGAGGAGAAACCCAATTTCAGCAGGCCGTGCACGGCACTGAGCCCTTCTGGGGGTGCTTTAGGGCACATTTTTGGGGACAGCCCCCCCGATTATGGGACAAACCACCCGGCCGTGACCCCTACCTGGGTGTCGACCCACTTGGCGCCGGTGCCGGAGTGCTCGACGCGGCCGTAGAAGTGCACGGGCAGCATGTACTCGGGCCGGGCCTTCTCCCAGGGGTTGCCGTGCCTCAGCCAGTCGTCGGCCTCCTCCACCTGCCCGAGGGAGCCACAGCGCTGATGGGGCCACCCGAAATGGGGACGAGCCCCAAAAAGGCCACCCAAAACAGGGCCCGGCCTCGTGATGGCGGCCGGGCCTGCTCCGTGCGGCCTAGAGCACCCCTGACACCGAGTCCCCTCCCCAGCTGCCCCACAGCCCCTTTATGCCCCATGAAGTCTCCCCGGAGCCCGAAGACCACCCGAGGGGAGCTTTAAGCACTCCAGGCACCAGCTCTGCCCCCGTCCTACCTGCCAGCCGTCCCGAATTTTCTGGTTGAAGATGCCGTACTCGTAGCGGATGCCGTAGCCGTAGGCCGCCAGCCCCAGCGTCGCCATCGAGTCGAGGAAGCAGGCTGCCAACGCCAGGGAGCTCATGGAGCGAGAAAAACCCCAAATCTTTCCCCCAAGGGAGCCCAGGACGGCTGCGAGCAGCTCGTGCCTGGAGCAGGGAGCCCCCCGGGGTGCGGGTGCCACCCCGCTGGGTGCCACCATGCAGGGAACGAGATCTTTTTTTTGGGGTTTCCTCACCTGCGAGCCGGCCGAGGCCGCCGTTACCGAGCCCGGCGTCCTCCTCGATCTCCTCCAGCTCTTCTATGTCCAGCCCCAGCTAGAGGAGAGGAGGGGAGTGAGGGGCTGGGGGCTGCCCGAGCACCCACCCCGCACCCTTGGGTGCTGCCCAGTGCAGGGCAGGGCCCATCCCAGCTCTAGGGGCAGGCACCCAGGCTCAGAGACATTCGGAGATGCGGCGCCTGCACAAGCAAACGCCAAATTTCCAGCCCGTAATACCATCAAGGAAGAGGTTTTGCCTATGCAAAACTCCTCGGGCAGCTCAGCAGGAAATAAAACAGGCACGGCCGGGGCTGAGCCGCCCCCTCCCACCTCGCCAAACAGAACGGGTCTGCCAGCTCCTCCCAAACCACCCGGCTCCAGGCGAGCCCAGCCTCAACCCTGCTGGTGTTTCTCAGCGCCGACTCGTACCCAAAGCCTCGAACACCACCCCCAGAAATGTTTTGGAGCGATTCACGTCCCGCCAAACATTTTATTTTCGGAAAATTTGAGCGTTTGGATTTGCGGCACGGCTACGCAACCCCTACGCAACCTCCCCGTCTCCTCCTTTTACAAACCTGCCCCCGGCCGGGCTGTTGGCCTCGCTGCAAGGTTAGCAGGTTAAAAAAAATAAATTAATTAATTTAAAAAAGCCCTAAAAATAAGCTGCTCTCCCTTTGAACACATATTTGCTCGGGTGCTGCTCCTGCTGTTGTGCAACCGCTCCAGCCGTGCGCGATGCTGTTTGGCAGGCGGGGCAGGAGCACGGGGCAGGGTGGAAAAAAAAACCCAAAAAAATCCTCCCCGGCCCCAGCGCCACGCGGTGACGAGAGGCAGCGGCGTGCCAGTGCCGCCGGTTGAGGGAGGCCAAGGTTTTACCCCCTCTGCCATGGGTTGCAGCGAGCGACGGCCTCGTGGGTGCCGCCTCGGAGGCGGCTGATAGCAGGAGCTAAACCCCGAGCCCAAAATTCGTGGCGCTCACCTGGTAGACGGCCTCGTCGCAGGCGTTTTGCAGCCCCAGGTTGATCATGGTGTTCTGCAGCGTGCGCCCCATGTAGAACTCCAGGGAGAGGTAATAAATCCTCTGCAGGGAGGGAACAGCCCACGGGCAGTGTGAGCGAGGCCGGAGACATCTCGGCCAAACCCACCCCCCCCGCAGCTCCCACCCGCTGTTATCTGGCTTGGAAGAGGAAAAAAATCCCGACGCAAGGAGGAATTTGAGGGCTGCGGCTCCCCCGCAGGGCCTGGCCTCCCATTTTCCCGCAGGAATCTCCCTGCAGCTGGCAGAGGGAGCCCAGCAGTGCCCCCCCAAACCCATCTCTGCCCTCCCACCCCACGCTGGCTCCGGCCCCGCTGTTGTTTTGCAGGCGGAGGCCAGCGCCCGTTTTGTTTGCCCGGGGACAGGACAGCTCCGGGATGGTCACCCCGAGGGCACCGCGGTACAAAGTTAAACTTTAAAGAGTTGCCTAACGTCACCCCGAGCTGCAAAAGCAAGCCAGAAAAAGCAGAACTGCTGCCGGAGGGGGGGGCACCCGGCCACCTCCTCAGGCCCTGGCACCCCAGGGGGGGGTTTGGGGATGGCTGCGGTGCCGCAGACCCCGCCGGGCACGTGGCTGCTAACACGGAGGCTTGTGTAAGCCACCCCAAGCCGAGCCTTGGTGTCAGCACCGGCGGGTTTTAGGGCAGGATTGGGGCTGGAGGAAGCTGCTGACTCCGCAGATTTCCTTGGGACCTCCTCGGGCGCTGGCTGGGTGGGTGCCGGCGGTGCCGGGGGGGTGGCCGATCCCTCGAGGGGGATTTTTCACCCCACGGGGACACGGGGTGCCAGCTCCCGCCGGCTGATGCGGTGCCAGCAAGGGGGGCACGGGAATAAATCGGAGCCGACAGGGCCAGGCAGGTGTCAGGAAGGGATTAGGGCTTAATCCCTCGGCAGGCAGAGCCCCGTGCTGGCACAGCAGCTCCCGCACCCGCCGCATCGCTCGGGCTCGGCCCCGCCATGGTGCCCGGTGCCAGCCGAGATCTCCCCGTGGCCTGTTTCGGGTTCTTTTCTCCCTGCAGCTCATTCACCCTAGAAGGCTTCGCTGTGCTTTTGGCAGGCGGCCCCCACGCCCTTGCTGCGGGACGGCGGGCGCCGTTCCCATGCTGCGCCCCGCGCTGGCGCTGCTCGGGAAACTGTGCGGGGCCAGGGGGGGGCGAGGGGGGCTGAGGGGTGCCAGGGGGTGCCAAAGGGTGCCAGGGGGTGCCGAGGGGTACCACAGGGTGCGAGGGGTGTTACGGGGTGCCAAGGAGTGCCAAGGGGTGCCAGGGGGTGCTGAGGGGTGCTGAAGGGTGCGAGGGGTGTCATGGGGTGCCAAGGAGTGCCGAGGGGTGCCAGGGGGTGCCACAGGGTGCCGAGGGGTGCCAAGGGGTGCTGAGGGGCGCCAGGGGGTGCTGAGGGGTGCCAGGGGGTGCTGAGGGGTGCCAAGGGATGTGAGGGGTGCCAGGGGGTGCCGAGGGGGACCAAGGGGTGCCAGGGGTGCCAGGGGGTGCTGAGGAATGCCAAAGGGTGCTGAGGGGTGCCAGGGGGTGCCAAGGGGGACCAAGGGGTGCCAAAGGGTGCCAAGGGGTGCTGAAGGGTGCAGGGGGTGTCAGGGGGTGCTGAGGAGTGCGAAAGGGTGCTGAGGGGTGCCAAGGAGTGCTGATAGGTGCCAGAGCACTAAAGTGTGCCGAGGGGTGCCAGAGTGCTGAGGGGTACCAAGGGGTGCCAAAGGGTGCCGAGAGGTACTGAGGGGTGCCAAGGGGGCTCCAGCCCTCCAAACCCGCAGCTTCCCACTCCCGGGGGGTCTACCGAGGTTCCTCCGGGGGCCGGGTGCCCCCCACCCACCTTGGGGTCCCGCTCGTAGTAGTGCTGCTGGGTGCGGATCCAGCGCCCCACCAGGTGGTCGCGCACCGTGTGCGCCAGGGCGAAGAAGTAGTCGCGGGGGGTGGCGACGTTGCGGTCCTTGACCAGGGTGAAGTGGAGGTGCCGGTTGAAGCCCCTCTTCAGCTCGGCCACGTTCTCGGCGCCCACGATGCCGCGGATGCTGATTTGCTTCCGCCGCTCCTGGTCCGACAGCGGCCGCGACATCGCTGCGGGGACACCGCGGGGGGACCGCGGGGACACCACCGGGGGGACACGGGGACACCACGGGGGGACACAAGGGGACACGGGGGGACACGAAGGGACACGGGGGGACACGGGGGGACACACAGGGGGACACTGCGGGGACACAGACACACACACAGACACAGACGGGGACGGGGCTGGCAGCGCGCACCGAGCGCGCTCCGCCGGCACCGCCCCGGGGCCGCCCACGCGTGGGGCGGGCGCCGCGGCCACGGGGCCCTCGGGAGGGGTGGGAGGGGTGGGAGGGGAGGGGGGAGGCACCGGCAGGCCGGGGGAGGAACCGATTTGGGGGAAGGGAGGTGGGGAATGGGGCGGGCAGCACCGCCTCCGGTCCCAAAGGGGAAGCGCCGCGCTGCTGGGGCGCTGCCCCAACCCCCTTCCCCTGCGCCCCTTTCGCAATTCCCCCTCCCCTGCACCCCCTTTTCCTGCTCGCCTTCCTCTGCACCCCCTTTCCCTGCTCCCCCTGTCCTGTCTCCCCTTCCCCTGCACCCCTTTTCTTTCTCCCCTTCCTCTTCTCCCCCTTCCCCTGCGCCCCTTCCACTGCTCCCCTTTCCCCTGCGCCCCCTTTCCCTTCTTCCCTTCCCCTGCGCCCCCTTCCCCTGCACCCTTTCACCTGCACCCCCTCTGCCCCCTTTTCCCTTCTCCCCATTCCCCTGCACCCCTTTTCTCCTTCCCCTGCACCCCCTTCCCCTGCACCCCCTCCTCTGCTCCTTTTCCTTCTCCCCCTTCCCCTGCACCCCTTTTTCTCCCCTCCCCCTGCACCCCCTTCCCCTGCACCCCTTTCCCCTTCTCCTTTTCCCCTTTTCCCCTTCCCCTCCTCCCATTTCCCCTCTCCCCTCCCCACTCCCCCAGGACCCCCCACTCAGCTCCAGGCCCCCCCTCAGCACCTCCTGTCCCCGTGTCCTGCTGTGCCCCACCGGCTCCTGCCCTTCTTCTTCCGGAGAGCCAGTGCCCGGTGCCGGGCGAGCAGCGCAACTCCTCTTCCTCTTCCTCCCCCCAGCTCTGCGCAGGCTTCTCGGGCGTTTTCCCTGCCCAGGCAGGGCAGAAAGGAGAGAAAAACCAAACCCGCTGCTGCGTGCGGCACGGGAAACCACCCTGATTTTATTTTATTTTATTTTTTTTACAGGATTATTGGGTGGGAGCTCGGGCACGGTGAATTTGGGTGCCTGGAGAAGGGCTGCGGGGCTGTGCAGGGGGTGCTGGGCCCCACAAGGGGCTCTGCCCTTGCCTTTGGGTGCTGCCCCCGGCCCCCCAGGGGCTCCCCCACCCCAAATTATGGGTTCCTGCATCCGTGGTGCCCTGGGTGCTGGGCTCCCACTTGAATTTCCCCAAATCACTTAGTTTCTAGGTTATTTTCTGTCTTTTCCACCCATCTTTGCCAAAATTTGGCACCAGGGCAGGGGCTGGCTGCAGGAACCACCCCAAGCAGCCTCCCACACCCAGCCCCGGTAATCCCCTGTCCCGCTGGGTGCCGGCATTTCCGAAATAACTCCCCCGTGGGTGTGCTTGGAGAGGGAAAGGCTCGGGGAAAGACGTTTGGGGAGGGCTGGTGCTTGGATCCTTTAGGATTTGGCACGGTGCCGTTGGGTTTTGGGGGCTGCAGGGGTGTGCGGTGCCCCGGGGTGGGGGGCGAGGTGGATGTGGGGGGCTGCGGCGGCGCAGAGATGCTCCGGGAAGCTGTGCCCTTCTCTGGTAAAAGTCCTTTATTAGAACAGCAAACATGACACTTTTTTTGGGGGGTACAGCAGCTGGAGGCAGCTATCACCGCGCTACAGTGGGGGCGACGTCTTACAACCACGAGGAGTCTAATAAGCACCGTGAACATCCTAAAGAATGGGTTGGTTGGGGGGAAAAGGGCTGAGAAATGGGCCCCGTGACCCGGCCACGGGGAGGGTTTTGGGGGGGGCTGGTGGGGAATTAATTAACCAAAAAGCTGCTCGGCGTTGGCCCGCAACACGGCTCTCCTGCAGCTGAGAAAACGCCGTCGGAGGGGAAAGGAGGAGATTAGCACCCCTGCAATAAATTAGCTCAGTGTGATCCTAGAGCCACGAGGGAACGAACGAACGGCACCGTCCCGGAGGGGAAGGACCCACGGACGGGGCCTCCTGCGGCCCCGGGGTGGGGGCGAGGGACCGGGGGCTGTGGCTGTGCCACCGAACGCCGGGCAGCGAAACCGGCACCGCGGAAAGGACGGGGGAGCCAAGCGTGGGGACAAGCGCATGCAGTCGCCCTCGGTGCGAGGGGCACGTGCTGGCAGCGGGCTGGTGGCCACCAGCTCCTCTCCTGCCCCCCCCAAATCGCCAGCGAGGGGCACGGGGGTGGTTGGGAGAGGAGGGGAGCGGGCGGCGGGTGGCGGGCACGGGTCCCTGAGTGCGCGGCAGGGCTGCGGGCAGCTCCCCGTCCTCTCTTCCCCGTCCCCGTGCCCCCCATCGGCTCCTCGCTGCAGGAGGGGCTCTCCGGGGAAGGGAAGGAGGCTGTCGGGTAGTTAAGGCGAGGTTTTTTTATCCGGCGAGTGTAAAAAAATAAAGAGCTCCTCTCCCAGGAGCTGCGCGGCGTATGGCTGTGGGGTGCTGGCTGCGCCGCTCCGCGGGGAGCCGGGGGTGAGAAAGGGGGGGCACAGGGTGGGTGCTTGCTTTGGGGGGCGGTGGGACGCGTCCGGTGGCGTTAATTAACGCCCCGTGTTAATGATCCACACCAATCCCCTGCTCCTGGGGGGGTCCCGCTGCGTGCGGGGGGAGCTGTAGCAAGATGGGGGCGAGGCGGGCGGGCGCATGGGAGTTCCCAGGACCCGCTGGACATCCAGGCCCCACCTCGAGGGGTGTTTGAGGTGCTCTGGAAGAAAGGCCACGGGGAAAGAAACGTCCTGCAAAGCCGTGGGACCCTGCAAAGCCACGGGACCCTGCAAAGCCGTGGGACCGGAGGGGCGAAAGCCTTCCCGGGGGGGGTCCCTCTCCCCGCCGTGCGGCCGGCCCCGTCCTGCAGCTCGGCCCTCTGAAACGAGACAAATCTGCCTCCCCCCCCTCTCCCGGGACCTTAACCAAAATGAGGAAAACCGAACCTAAAAGCGGACACGGAGCAACACCTCGGGCTACCTAGCTATAGTGGATCAGCCAAGAGCGAAGGAGCGAAGCGCACACACACAGGACAGCGCAGGCGGGTGGCGAACGAAGACTGCCGAAAGCCAGTTTCTTCCTGCCCTTTTTTTTTTGTATTTTTCACGTTTTTTTGTGTTTTTCTTCCGCCTCCCCCGTCGAGCAGAGGCCTCTGGTGCCGCAGAAGGGAGCGGGCTGGCTCCTCTGGCCCCGAGCAGAGGCAGCCGGCCCCGGGGAGCTGCCTCACTGCATGGCCGAGCGCGAGGCGTAGAATTCGGGGACGGGCAGCCCGGTGTGCAGCGTCACCTGCAACGAGATGCCAGGCCTCAGAACTGTCCCCACCAGGCTTGGGGACACGGCCCCGGGGTGTGACAGCCCCTCTGGGGATGGTGGGACCCCCCCGGTGCGGTGGGAGGTGGTCTGAGATGGCGTGGGGAGCCCAGCTCGCCGTGGGTCCCGGCTGCGGTGGGGTTTGGGGGTGGGAGCAGGACACTAGGATGTGGTGGTGGCTTCATTTTGCTTTTTCTCCTCTTATTTATGGGGCCGGGGCCCTGATGCAGCTCCAGCACGAATTAGGGATGCTGGTACCCGAGGCACCGTGCCCCAAATGCTCCCAGCTGGCTGCCAGGGGTGGGACGTGGGCGCAGGGTGGGGTTGGGATGGGCAGGAGAGGGCACGGAGGGGGCTGAAGGACAGAGAAGGTGCTTAGGGTTTAGGGAGGCTTCCAAAAAGCCCCAAAGGAGGGGACGTGGCTGGAGGAAGGAGCTGGGCAGCGCCGTGCCGGGGGGTGCAGGGTGACGGGTGCCAAATGGGAGCCAGGCACCCGGTCCTGACATCAGGGAGCAATTCGGCACGGACTTCAGCACATAAAAAAGGGGAAAACCAAAGAAAAATTTGAGAGCAACGCTCCCCGCTTGCAGGAAATCCCTGGTGAGCTGCAAGGGGCTGAGTGGGCCAGGGGCCGGGTCCTGCAGGTGCCCAGGAGCTGTGCAGGGCTCTCCCTCCCCAAATAATTTCATCTGGGAGGGAAGCACAGCTCCTTCTTTCCTCGAGCAGCAGCATCTTCCCCCTTCAGACCCAGATCCGTAAGAAACTTTGTCTAAAACACGATTATTTCCAGCCTGATTAGGGTGATTTTAATTACTCGTGCCTTTGAAGGAGGAGGATAACGAACGGCTTGGGTTCATTAGCAGCCTTTTATCAGCATCCCACGGGATCCCCCTGCTCTCTGGGGGTTTGAAGCCCTGCCTGGCACACCGAGCTGCCAGAAACCAGAGGGCTCTCCAATGTGCTCGTCTCTTGGTGGTACAGAGGGGTTGGGGTGGGAATGAAACCCCTCGTTTTCTCCCAAATAACAGGAAAGCCCTAAAAGCAGTGCAGGGAGGAGTGCTGGAAGGGCGAGCAGTGAGAGGGGGACGTGCCACGGCCAGGCTGAGTGAGGGGGGGACTCCCTGGGGCGGCTGCTAGCAGGGAAGAGATCGGTGAGAAGGGGAAATGAAAGCTGGAAATACCGCACGGGCCCGGGGAGCCGCCGCTCGGTGCCGTTCAGCAGAGCAGAGAGCTTGGGAGAGAGGGAGAGAAGAGGGGTTTGAACCTCCCGAGAGGAAAAAGAGGCTTTGAAAGGCGCCCGGCTCCATCCCAGAGCTCCTGCCTGGGTCCTTGGGGCGATGCAAGAGCCGGCGTGATCCCGAAATGGAGCTGCCAAACCCCACGGAGCAGGAGGGGCTGGAAAACTGATGGAGAAACCCAGGGCAGGGAGCTGGAGGCAGCAGCTCCGGGGGGGCACGGCCCCGGCACCCACCTGCACGTTCCTGTTGAGGCTGACGGCGGGGAAGAAGAGGCCCTCCAGGTTCTCGAAGGCCACGGGCCCTTGCTGGTCCTCGTTGATGGAGAAGGTCAGGGTCCTCCTGGTCAAATCCAGCAGCACGCCCACCGTGGCGCCTTTCGTTATGCCGCCCTCGGTTCTGTGGGAGCAGAGAGACGGTGACAGCCAGGACGGTTTCGTGTCCTTCGTGCCCCCAGCGCAGGGTTTGGGTTGTGGCCCCCTCCTGGTCACCTCCCCAGGGCTGCGTGGCTGCGATCCCGAGAGGAACGAGCTCAGCCCCTGCCCTCTGGCATCCCCCAAAGCATCCCCCTGACCCTACAGCCCCAAAAAAAGGGCTTCACACCTTGCCACTGACCTGTGCCCATCACCACCCTGCACCACCGCCTGTCCCCATGTCCCCAGGAGGACACCAGGAGGGGAAAGCTGCTGGGCAGAAGTGCGGGTCCTGCTTCAAACCCCGCTGACCCAGCAGAGAATCGCCCTCAAGCCTTCGAGAAGGGGATGCCAGGCTCTGCCCAAGTGACCACAAGCTTTATAATCCCAAGCTCCACCAGCCCACGGGGAAATCATGCCATAGCTGTGGCACAGGGATGAAAGCAGACGGGATTTTCTCGCTGCAGGAATTACAAGGCTTTGGGAGTTAGCAGATGGGGTGTGCTACGCGCAAAGGGGTGCAGTGCATGCTCGGGGAAAGAGCCAGCATGCAACCAGGCCACAGAAATAAGCAAAAAAACAGCCACAGCAACAAACCAGAGCAGCAGGAGCTGTCCTCAGCTTTGGGCAAAGCCACACTGCTCCCACAAAAGGCGACGAGGAGCGAAACCCCAATCCCTGCGGGTCCCTATAGCCTCCCCGACCCCTCGTGCCAGGGCAGGACGGAGCGGCGGGGCCCCTACCTGTTGGTGTGCGAGTTGTTGTGCATGAACCAGCTGCGGTTGTTGTCCACGTACATGGCCCAGGCCTTGTCGTCCTTGCCCAGCATGGCATCCTTCAGCACGTCGACGCGAGCCACGCCGAAAGCCGGGTCGGGGTGGTTGTCGTAGCGGTCGATGGAGAGCTCCCAGTAGTGGAGCCCTTTGGAGAAGCCCGTCTTGCCCAGCACCACCCTGTCGTCGTAGCTGTTGCAGGTGACGGTCAGGTTGTCGTTGGAGAAGATGATGTCGGCGTGGGCGGACGAAGGGTCGAAGGAGAACCAAGCTACTGGAAGAGATGAAAGGCAGAGGGGTCAGGGGGGGGGACGGGCACGGCGCCGAGCCGCACGGAGAGGACGGGACGAGAAGCAGCGCATGCTCCATGCAGGGTAGACACCGAGCTCCAGGGCACAGGCCGCGGGGCTCCTGGCTTTAGGGTTGGGGCTCCGAGCCTGAGATTTGGATCTGCTGCTCCCCTGCCTGGCCCCTTGGCAGCTCGGGAGCCCGCAGGATCCTTGTCCCCGGCGCTGTCCGGCTCCAACAGCTCCGGGAACCCAAAGCGCATCGAGCGGCCGGCATTCACACCCAGGAACAGCCCTGCCCAGCAGCCGGCCACACGTAAGACAGGAGAAAGCCCACGGACAAGGCCTGAGGACCTCCACGAAGGGGATAAAGGCACGGGACTCGCTCTCCGGCCACCGGACAGGTACGGGGGTGACGCTCTGGACTAGACAACGGGGGGGGTGGTTGCACAGAGCCACCAGCTGCCGGTTTCACCGGTGTTTTTTTTTCCTCCGGCGGTCAGCGAGACGTAAACTGACACATCCACAAAGCCACTCTCACGCCTGCAGAAGTAAACACGGCTCGAAGAAGGAGACACTCGGGTGAGGTTTGGTTGAGCGCTTTATTGGAACGGTGCGCACGGGACGGCTCGCATGCACACGCGGGCTCGCGCGGCGCGACAGGAGCGAGTCCGTACCTGCCACCATTTTTTTAATGTCAACTGTGGTCATCCCCCGGGGAGAGGCATGCGGGGAAAGAAAACAGCACGTGAAGTTGGCATTCAGTCCAAAAAAAAAAAATAATAATAATAATTAAAAAGGAATCAGAAATGATTTCTGCTCGCCCGCCTCTCCGGCGAGCGCACGGAGCTTTCAGGGCTGTGCACGCAGTGACAGGGGGGAGGTGAAGCGAGGATGGAGCAGTGCTGCTGTCAGGCACGGTGTGTGAGGGACCTGCTGTGCCCTTCAGGGGACACCTTTTTCCCCAAAAGAGGAAGGATTGGGCCCGAATTTGGGGGCTGCTGAGCGCCACTCCTGGGGAAGGCGCTCTGCGTCGGACATCGCCCATCGGCGCCCCGATGGGGGCACACGGCTTTGAGCAGAAGGCTCAGATTTTAACCACAGGGCTTCTCTTTAAAAGCAGGGTGGGGAGGAAATTAAACGCCCTGGCAGCACACGGCAATGATGGTTCTTTCAATTTGCCTACCACCTGGACATCTGGGAGGGTGCGCACAAGAAGCGCTGCTCGCTCGCCAAATTAAACTTAAAGAGAACGAAAAAAAAAAAAAATAAGGATGGATGAGCAAGACGGAGGAGGTGCCGGTTAATTGTTAACAAATATACTTGCCTAATTGAGAGTAAGGCGTTCCTTGGGTCTCAAAATTGCATCCTACAAAGAGATACTGCATTTCACACATCACAGCTACGACACAACACCTGAGAACCACCCGAGGATCCGGCCAGCCGCAGGGGGCCGGGCTCCTTAAAAGCCAAAGAGCAGGGCCAGGGGTCACGGACGTGACCTGTGAGGTTGGGGGCTGCCAGCCTGGGGTCCCTGGGGCAGTTTTTGAGCCTCAGCCCCCTGCCACCACCCCGTTTGGCCCCGCCACCCAGCCCGTGGCTGCGGAGGCAGCAACTCGGCGGGACATCTGGGCACGAAGGCAGAAAAAGCCCGAAACGAAACGAGAGTCGAAGCCATGAGCGCACAGCGGGGTGAGGAGGAAAAACATGAAAAGCACAGAGGGAATAACAAAGCCGCGGGGCCCCCGGTTATGTCGGCAACGCTCATGCTGCAGGCGATGGGATGGAAACGGAGCGGATCGGGGGCCCCCATTCCTCCGGGGCTTCCAGCAGAGGAATTCCTCCTCTTGGAGCCCAGCGAGCGGTGTAAATCGGTGCAGGGGTGGAAGAATCGGGGCCCAGGATCTTTTAACAACGGAGGACGTGCAAGGAGAGGTTAGAAAACAGCTCGGAGACGCACCGCGCCTGCTGCTCCTTCGCCGGCACGCGGACACCGGGTGCGGGGACCCAGCCAAGCACCCATGGGTGCTGCCAGCAGGGTGAGGCAGCGCCGGCGTGGGTACCTCTGCAGGGCAGGAGCCTCGGGTATGCTCACGCCTGGCTTTGCAGCTCCCAGAGGAGCTGTTGGAGCGCCCACCTCGTTAGGAGCCGGGCTGTGGAGGGTCCTACCCGACCGTGCTTTGCCTGGGGAGGGGAAGGAAACCAGGGAAATGTCCCCGGGGGGGGCTCTGTTCCCCTGACCGACAGGAGATTGGAGAGGAGGAACGTGCTCGGAGCATGGCCACGAGCAGCACCCACGTCGGGGGTGGCTCTGCTGCTCCAGCACCCCATGGACGGACCCGGTGGTGCTGCGGGCACAGCCGGGCATGTCCCCAAAAACCGCACCACCGAAATCCCCTCCGCCTCGGGGGCAGCCCCTGCCATCCAGCCGCGTGTCGTGGGGAGAAAAACGAACAGAACAGAACGAAACAAACGGTTTGGAGACGGCCAGAAGCACAGACCAAGAGGAAATGCCAGAGGCACCCGGCTCACCGGCTGAATTCAGGGACTGTAAAGAAGAATGCAAGCTCAGCTGGTGGGCCGAAGATCTTAGCTCAAAGTAGGATCTCCCCGGAAAGCTGGGTTGTAGATTAAGGGTGGAGGAGAAAGGACTCATTCTACGAAGCTGCAATCTTTCCAAAGGCACTGGAAAAGGGAGGGTCTGCTCTTCTGGCTGCGTTTCTAAACGTGAGATCAATGCAAACCAGGGGTCAGCCGCGGGCTCTGCCCGACCGCGCCGCGCCACCGCCCGCTGGACCCGCGGCCGTGCGGGCACAGGGGGGTGCAGCAGGGGGCCGTGGGGCTGAGCAGCCCGGCGGCACCCTCCGGGGGAGCTTTGCCTCGGGTAACATCGAAAATAAACGTGTGGTTGGCTTCCAAAATGTTCCTCGTCCTCCCGACGCTCAGGAGGTTTTTCCTTTAAACCAGCCCTGCGCCTCGTCACCATAACGCACCTAGAAGAGCTCACAAGTTCCCCCCCACACAGCTCAATTATTAAAAATAAATGTATTTTTAATAAATTTCCTACCTTTTTGTGTCCTAGACACTACATGTATCCCTTTCTAGGACGCTGGGGAGGCTGCAGAGGCACGAGGCTCTAACGCCCTGCGCGCCACCAAGCACCCGCCTGGCCCAAAGGCTGCTCGGGACGCAGGGCTCCTGGTGTCCCCTTGTACCTGTCCAAAAACACCTGAGCCTTCCGAGGAGAATTTAGGTGATTCAGGGCAAAATGTCACACTAGAGGGATCCCCTCACGCCACCAGGTCCCGCTCCCCACTGATGGTCACCTCCTGCAATTTCTCCCCTCGTCTCGCCAAGGGGTGTGGAGATCCCGAATCCTCCCCAAAAGAGATGGAGCTGCAGGTCAGGTGCCCTCAGACGGCTCGTGGCTCCCCCAAACCAGCATCTTATGTCCCTATATTTCCTGGCAGCGTTCCCCTTGTGCTGCTCGCCCTGTCCAGATGATGCTCAAACCTGCTGGGGATCAAAGCCTGAGAGGGGCCGTGACGTGCACGGCGGCTCCGTGCCCCAAAATCTGGAAGCTGCAGAGGGCTGGCATTGATCTCCCTGAGAGCCCTTTTGCCTTTTTCTTCCTTTTTCTTTTGTCCGAGGACAAGTGCGAAGCCTGCCTGGATGCTGGATGCAGCAAACCTTCCCCCGAGGCTGAACGGGAGCGATTTTTGTCAGGAGAGCTCAGCGTGCTGGCACCCACCTAGGAAGCAGCCCCAGGAGCAGCCCGTTCCTTCCAGGCTCCTTCACGTTTTGGAGCTGGGCAGCTTAAAAGCCACGGAGCCGAGGAGGAACCCAAGCCCTGCTGGCTCCTGCAAGGCTCGGGGGAGCCAGGCACAGAGCTGGGGGAGCTCTGCTGACCTTCAGGAGTGCTTCCAGCCACCCCACAGCAGGGCTGGCTCCGGGTTCTCCAATTTTTGGCTCTCCAGGGCAATTTCCCAGGATAAATGCACCCCCAGGCATTTAGCCTGGGAAATATGGCAAAGGGGCTCCTCCGAGCGTGGAGAGCTCCCAAAAGAGGCTCCCTGCCTGGATGTGGGGCTGCTCCCTTCCTCCACGGCCGCAGCACCCCCTCTCCTGACCTCCTCTTGCAGCTCAGAGCCCCCCCTTCCAGCCCGCACGTCAGCACCAAGCCAATTTTCCGCCCCGGATTAAGTGCCTGCTGTGACAAATGCACTTAGAGTCCAGCAGGGAGACTCCTCCACGGCCTACGAGAGGGCTGTTCCTATTTTGGGTGCCTGCCAGAGAGGGGATCAGCCCCGCAGACGGTGCCAGGGTGGCTGTCTGTCCCTGTCTGTCCATCCTGGGGGTCTGCGAGGACACCCGGGTGGCTCCGTGGTGACTCTGCTCCCTGCTGGGTGCCACCAGGCTTTGAGGGGACGCTGTGGTGACGCTGTGCAGCCACGCACGATGCCTTGAGAGCGGTGCTGAGCGTTTGATTTTCTTTAAAACACCATCAGTGAAGACATTGGAGCTTCCCCGGGGCATAACACAAACCCTGACACCATTTCTCCCCGGGACATCTCCCCCTGCACCCACACCGACCCTCTCCAAAAAAAAACAAACCAACTTTTGGCACGGAAAGGGAGAGAAACTCGGATTTTCCCGAGCCTCCTGACACAGCCCTTCCTTTTTCCCCTTGCCAGCAGCGCTCGGGGGATCTCTGAGCCCGGCGGCGCTGGCCGTGCCCCCTGCGCCTTACCCTCGGACGTCTGCAGCACCAGGGTCTTGCTGTAGGGGCTGACGCCGGTTTTGTTGAAGGCCTTGACGCGGGCGCTGTAGGTGCTGTTGAAGTGAAGCCCGTCCACCGTGCACATGGTCTCCTTCCCCACGTACACCTCCTGCCAAGCAAGCACAGCGTCAGCGCCCAGAGCCCTGCGCCACTGCCTGGGGCAACATCTAAAGGAGAGAAAAGTGCCCCGAGGGTTCCTTCCTTGGCCATAAAAGCAGTTGTGAGAGTTTTAAGAGAGTTATAAGAGTTATATCCTGCCCTAAAAGCAGTTTTTGCAGGGGTAGGAGCTGCTGGTTGTGTTCCGAAAGCAGAGAGGAGCTGTGCCAGAGAGAGGGATTAATGCAGGCGGCACGGAGAGCGAAATCTCCTCGCAGAAAGCAACTCTGCGTGCGCCTGGGTGGCAGGATCAAAGCGTTCCTTGAAAGAAAACCGAGGTGAGTTCAGCACAGCGCTGCTGATTCACCAGCACCTCCCGCTCCTGCTGCCAAAGGAGCGAGGCTGTGGGAGCAGAGCGGGCGAGCAAACACATCCACAGGCTACCGAAACGCGCGGCTCACCAAACTTTCCCTCGCAATGAGCGGATCCCACAAGAAAGCCCGGAGGTTTGCTGCCCTCCGTGGCTCTGTGTGGGGCTCTCACCCCCGTGGGGAAGCTTTGCTGCCCCGCTGTGCTGCCAGCACGGTGCTGTGATGCTCCTAGAAGGGGCAGCCAGTGCTTGTACCCCGTCCCTGTCCTCCCAGGATGTCCCCAGGGCCTGCTAAATTGGCCTCTTGTGCCCTTCCCTCTGCGGATCTCACCTGTTTTTTTTTTTCCATCCTCACCCTGCTCCAGCTCCTGCCTAGCTCAGTTTCGCCTGGATGTGCGCGGAGAAGGTGAGGGGCTGCTCGCTGCGCCCGCTCCCGGTGGCTGCGAGCACGCCGGGATAACCATCAGCGTGTCGGATCGGAGAGAAATCTGATTTTAATTGTGTAATGACAGCAATTCGAAAGCCCTCAGGCCTCACACACCGCTGCTTTCTGGCAGCTGGCGAAACCCCGAGGCTTTCGGGGCAATTAGCACGAAATATTTAGCAACCTGCAGAGGCAGCTTCACACGGATCCTCCGCATCTGCAAGTCACATTGCTCACCGGGAAGGTATTTCTACCTTCAAACCTCCCCAAAAAATGCCCACGGCTCGTCTGCACCACAGCTGGGCGTCCCGGCAAGCCAAATCTCCCATCTCCAAGGCAGGAGAGGACTGGAAAAAAGCTCTGGGGAAGCACCTACCCTGAACTGGCCGCCGTTGCCATCATCGAGCTCCAGGATGTAGCCCTCCACCTGCACCGTGGACAAGGGGGGCTGCTTCCAGGACAGCGTGGCGCTGTTGTTGTGGGTGCAGCACTCCTCCAGCTGCAGGATCGGCGGGGCCGGCACTGGAGAGGAAACTAAAGGCAAGTTAGAGGGACCCTGGCTGCTAGCACCGCCCAGGGAGGGAGCACCGAGGGTGGATTTAGGGTTTCGGGGCTCAGCCAGCACTGATCGGGGGGGTGGAAATGCAGCCTCGGGGGTGAGAAGCAGCAAGAGCTCTTCTTCTAGGTGAGCTCCTCCAAATTTCGCCACCCTGCAGCCTGGCAAAGCTGGGATTTCCCTGGGGTTTCTCTGCTTTCTTTCTTTCTGATGGGTTTTTGGAGAAGCGTGGCGACACAACAGGGTGTGCCACTGCCCCGACTCATGTCCCGAAGCAGGGAGGCTCCCAAAAATGCTCAGCGGGGTGCCTGGCCTTGCCCACAGCCCAGCATGAAATGCTGCTGGTTTTCCACCAAGATACAGCGAAGAAGAGACGTGGGGGTGCCTCTCAGCAAGGGAACGATGGCCCTCAGGCTGCCCAAAAAGATTCGGGGTCCTCCCACGCTGTCCCCAGCACAGCACCCACCCCTGGGGGACTTGGGGCTGCCGTCCCCTGCCAGCTCTGCCCGCACACGGCTCCTGCTGCTGGGCACATCCCAGGATACGGGGAGCCCTGACACGATGTGGAGAAGCCAGGGGATGCTCGGGGAGGAAAAGATGAACCTCCCCGTGCAACCCGCTCCTGTGCTCGGCCACTTTCACAGTGAAAAAATGAAAAATAAATAAATAAAAACCTAAAAATTTGAAAAAAAATCCCAAACCTTCCTGCTTCAAAGTGGAATTTCTCGCATTTCTCTTTGTGGAGCTGGGCCAAAGACCCCCCTCCTGGTAACCTTGACACTGGGGAGCAGGGAACTGATGCCACTGGTGTCAGGGCCACACAGATGGATAAGAAATGTCTTACGTGGCTCCTAAAAGCCTTTTCTTCACCTGTGAGAGGCGAGGGTCTCACCACTGATGGTCTCACCCCCTGCCCCTAGCTGCTGGTGTCTCCTGCGGTACGGAGGACGCACGGCACAGCACTGCCCCCAAAAGCAGCCCCAAAAGCAGCCCCAAAAGCAGCCCCAAAAGCAGCCACGGGGATTGTAGGGGAGGGCAAGCTGTGGCTCTGCGCTTCACCACCGAGAAACAACGACGAGGTTGATGTGGAGGCCAAGAGAAGGTGAGGAAAGCCAGGCTGATTTCCATCCTCCCCGTGCAGAACCTCTCCTCGGCGGTGCCGGGGGCGAGCAGGGGCGCCGGGCACACTCTTACCTTTCATCTGCACGAAGTCCAGCTGGTGGATGGACTGCAGCAGAGGGGCGTTGTCGAGGTTCAGGTCGAAATCCGTGGTCATCCGGGGCGTCAGCGTCCCCTTTCCCCACTGGTCCTCGGTGAGGTGCACCCTCCTGATGAGCGCGTCCGAGATCTGGCGGCGAGGAGCGGCCTCAGGCACCGAGGGGCTGCGTGCTGGGGACCTGCCCTGCCCTAATCCTGCTCCCCAATTTCTCCCCCTCACTCTTTCCCCTCGTTTCTCTGCTCCAGAGAGCCCCGAACACATCCTCCAACCCCTCCTTTCCGTGCTCAGAGCCAACGGACCCCATCCTGCTTCTGCTTCTGTTCCGCTGCTCCCAGCCCTCAATTTTAGGGCTGGAAAAATGGGGATCCCGTCCTCGCTGTGCCCCCCCCTGCCTGCCATATCACCCCAGGGCTCCTGATCCCATCCAGACCTGCAGGAAGCCGCTGGGGTCGTTCTCCTTGATGACCTCCAGGCAGTACTCCATCAGCCCCGTCGTCTGGCGCAGCTTCACCGTGCAGTGGGAAATCTGGTCCCGCACCACCTGCGGCGACAAGGAGAGCCACGATGGCCCAGCCGCAGGGCTGGGAGCCCAAAAAGAAAGAAAAAAAAAAAGCTGCAGCCTCGTGGGGATGCCCCCGAGCAGAGCCACCGGGTGGTGGGTGAGGAGCAAGCCTGGTTTTGGTGTTCCCGAGAGGGATGAACCTGCCCCAGCTGCAGTGCTGAGGGGGAGATTCGTGTGTTTGAGGTGCTCACCCCGCATCAGCTGAGATGGACCATGCAGAATTACCTTTTTTTTTTATTCCCCAGGCTGCAGCAGAGCCTGGAGATGGGCTCAGAGGGACAGCTCTTTCCTGCAAGAGCTTTAGAGCTGCGTAAAGTTCTCGGCAGGCTGTTAGGGGCAGTACAGGCGAGCTTCCCACCCCCAGCTGATGGAAAAGGCTGCACTACATTAAAATTTGGGAAAGCACAGCCACGTCTCCATCACGGCAGCCTGTGAATCCCGTGTTAAAACAACCCCTGGGCTGCAGGCACCCCCCCTGCTCAGCCAGGAGGGACGCAGAGCTGCATGGAGGCACGTCCCAGCCCCCTGCGGCAAAGCAGCCCGGGCTTCCACGGGGGCAAGGACTCCTGCAGGGCAATCAATCAGAGCGTGCGTGGCTTAATTAGAACGTAATCACCTCCGCTTCATCACCTAGCAGGAAGAAGAGAACCGTAAGCCCTGCAGCTTGGGACGACGTTTCTGGGAGATGCTATGAAAGATGCTCCTGGCTGGCTCCTGGTTTTTAGGGGGTTGCTGTTTGCAAGGATGCCCCTTGCTGCTTTGGGGAGGGGGCTGCAGGAGCAGCAGCAGCAGCAGGAGCAGCAGTAAAAGCAGCAGCAGCAGCAGCAGGAGCAGCAGCAGGAGCAGGAGCAGCAGGAGAAGCGGCCACCAGCACGCCAGGCTGGCGAGGCAGCAGGGGGAGCTCCCATCTTGTCCTCTGGAGCCGTGCGGAGATGCTGGAGAGCTCAGAGCCCATGCAGGAGAGAAGCACACGCTGGGTTTGGCTTCAAAGGCTTCCATCAGAGGGAAGAGCTCACTCGGTGCCAGTTTTTACCACTCGAGTGCACCGGAATGGCTCTGCTGGCATCAGCCGCTCCTGGAGAGCCAGACTCCTTCATTCCCTCTTTGGCTCCTGCTGTGCCTTTTTCCAGAAGTGTGGGCAAGCCCCCAAACCTCCCTTCCCAGTCCTTTGGGGCAGGATCCAGAAGGTGCAGGGGGAGTGCAAAGCCTCGCAGCAGCCCCTTGTATCAATTTGATCCATTTTCCTAGGGAAAACTCAAAGCCTTTGAGTTGTGCACGGGGATAAAGCAAAATCTGGAAGGTCCTCAGGGCTTTGACTTGTGCACGGGGATAAAGCCAGAGGCTGGGCAGCTTCGGGAGAACCCAAAAGGATTGGGGTATCCACCAGATTGCCAGGAAAACCAGCCTGCCCTGGGCTGTGCAGGGAAGTTGGCCGTTTGCAGGAACCCAGGGGTAGCCGAGTGGTGGCATCTTCTGGGAAAACGGCTGGCAGGGCAGTGAGCTCGGGGATATCAGCCCACGAGGGGATTTGATCCCATTTCTGGTCATTTTTATATTTTTTTTCCCTTTGCATGTCAAAGGAGGCAGCAGGCAGCAGCTGGTTCCTAATTACAGCCTACAAAAGGGGCGTTCGCTGCGCGCTCCCAGCACCTCGCTGCTGCCTTAAAATAGGACGTTTATTTCAAGAGCTTTTCTTTTCCTGCAAGACGATCTGAGCTGTAATTTACATTCGAACACAGCTCCTGGAAGGCAGTAACACCTGTGCTCGTCCCTACCTAAACGTCTTCCTCACCTTCCTCCTCTCTCAGCGCTTGGCTGGGTTTCAAGGCACCCGGCCTCGCATGAACCCTGGCTCCGGTGCGCGGGATGAGCCCTGCTGGGGAACGTAATCCCATAAGAAGGAAGGGTCACGGACCAGTGGTTCAGCTCTGGAGACACAGACGTGTGCAGTGCTCTGTCCAGGAGCTCAGTGGCTTTGACAGAACCCTTGGAATTTCGTCCTGGGACAACCCTGCAGGGACCTTGTATGGCCCCTGCTTGATCCAGCCCACGCTGTAGGGTGGCTTCCCTTGGGGAGCTTGGGGAAGTCCTTTGGAAACCAGAGCAGAACAGACAAGGGATTTAAAACCTGGCCACGCTGCTCCTTTGGATGCTGTTTGTTAAAGGCTGGCTCTTTGTTTGAATCCAGACCTGGGGGGAGGTTTGGGAAAGGCAGAGGGGTTTGGGAATGGCAGAGGGGTTTGGGAATGGCAGCACGTTGTCCCTCCCCACTTCATTTCCTCCCTCTGCAGCAATTAGTGCCGGCCCACGGGCAGCCCTGGATGGGTGCCTGCCGCACGAGATGTGTGTCAAGCTGAAGTAGGTCAGCCCTAAAGCCCAGCTGACCCCAGCTCCGGGTGCTCCACGGGGCCGGGAGCTTGGGCTCGGCGGTGCCAGGCGCCGGTGGCCCGGTGCCAGCTGGCAGGCCCTGTCCCTTCGTGCCCCTCGTCCTTGTGCCCTCCTGTGCCGTGATGGCCACTCTTGCCTTGAAAGCAGGCAAGATCCCCTCTGTTCCTGTCCCCAAACCAGAAGGAAAGGGTGTGCAGAGGCTGTGAGCCTCAGCCTGACTGCTGAAGCCACTGCCTGGCTGTGCGAGAGGGTAATTAACTGCCCCAAAGGGGAAAAGGGAAAGAGAGCTGGTCCTGCTACCCTACAGGATGGGCTGTTGGCGTGGCACTGCCTGCTTGGGCTGTGCTTCGGTGCCAGAGAAGGAGCACCGAGGCAGGGCTCGGCCCCACAAAGCTGCTGTCACCCCGTAGGTCCAGCTGGACCTATAAGGGATCCACGGGGTTTCAGCAGGATCATCTCGGCTCCCCTCCCCGTGCCAAGAATTCACCTCTGGGCGAAAGCACCACGAGGTCTCGTTGGGCAGAACAGAAAATGGAGAGATTCCTGCTCCTGCCCGGTGACACAACTGCCACCTCGTGACCCCGAGTGCCCCGGGATGGCAGCTTGTGCCGAAAGCAGTGTTTCACCCCAAAACCAGCGCCGTGGTGGTGCCGGCAGCGCTGCAGGGCTCACCTTCAGCTTGTGCTCGTGCTCCTTGTTGACCCGGGACAGCAGCTGGGCTTTCCTCCTGTTGAGGGCATCGATGAGGGCATCGCACTGGGCCACCAGGCAGGCCTCGAACTCCACGCTGTTCTCCTGGGGGTTCAGAGCAAAGCGTCACAGCCCGGGGCGCCTCTCCGCACTGGGTGGGGAGCAGGATTCATTTATGGCACCACAAGGGCTGGTTTTATACGCACAGCCATGGCTCTGCAACACCCCAATCTGTAGTGTTTGAGTATGGGGTGCTCCCAAACCTGCCTCGTGGCAAATGGAGTAGGGGCAAGTGAGGAACGGGTTTGGTTCATCCCACCACGGCCTCAGGTCTGGGTACGGGGTCACTGCGGGGGGCACAGCCATAACGCCAGCTGTGTGGCTTTGGAAGGAGCAGTTTTTGGGAAAACTGCACGGGGATGCTATGAAAAGAGGCAGGTGCTGATTGCGGACCCCTTTGGGAGAGGATTCCCTACAAACCAAGCGGGGAGATGGGGCAGAGGATCCCCAGAAAGGCTGCTCCTCCCCATGGGAGACGCGCTACCTGGATCTGCTGCACCATGTTGCGGAGCTGGACCAGGAATTCTTTCGCCTCCTTGGCTCTGTCCGACAGCCCGTTGAGGGCCTGGGAGAGCTGGCTCTGCAGGGGGAAGAAAGAGTAGGGTTATTTCCATGTCCTGACCTCGTCCTCGTGCCGGAGGAGCCGACGTGTGCGCATTTGGGGCTGGGCACGGAGCGCGGTCCCTGCGCCGCCTTCCCGGGGGTGCGCAGCCTTCAGCAGCCCCACAGAGGCGTCCTCCTGCCCCTGCTGCCCTGGGGGTGGGAAAAAGGAGGGTTAGCCATCAGCTCAGGGCTCCCAAAGCCCTGGATTTGGGATGCGCAGACCCGGTGTCCCTCCCTGGCTACCTTATTCCAGGAGCTAGGCAAATCCCCTGTGGTAAGTTACCTCTCGGAGACATCTCGCCTTTTGGGGGGCTGCAAACAGCACGCGGGTTTTAGGGTGGAGATGGCCCCACGTCTCCAAAACCTAACCCTCCGTGGTCACACCGTGCTCCTGGGGATGTATGAGGGGCAGGGGGAGGAGGTGGGGTGGCTGCCTGGCTGTCAGAGAGAGCAGAGAGCAGAAAACGACCTTGCGGCACTGCCTCCCCCGGAGATGTTAATAAAACCCCGGTGATTTCGGCATTTCCTTGGTGATTTATCGTGCCCCGGTCATTAGGACGCGGAGATAATCAGTGAATGCATCTCTAATAAAAACGGGATTGCTCAGTCAGCTCAGCTGCCTGCTGGGCTCCTCGCCCCAAGCTGTCCCCTGCGAGATCCCTCCCCTCCCCGACAAAACCTCCCCAAAATCACCCCAAAAAACACTTTGGCTCCTGGCCTGAGCTCCCATCTCCTCCCGTGCACAGCTCCAGCCCTGGCAGGATCAGGGAGCAGCCCGGCACGGAGCTTTGCTGGGGGCTGAGCCCCGCAGGGCAGCTGATGCAGGGAAGCAGCGGGAGCCTGCGAGGTTTACAAGCTCCTCATTAAAACTGCAGCACAGTGGTTTTTCTTTCCTTTTTCCTTCCATAAAGCCTTCCGAAAGCTGTTTTTTAAAATCAACATACGTTTTTGGAAAAAAAAGAAAAGATCTTTATCTCAGCATAACTCTTTGAGGCTTTCCTAATGGGCCGACGCTTTAAATGCGCCCTTAAAATTTAACGAGAGCTCTGCGCTGCCCACGGGTAGGTCACCGGAGCGAAATGACCTCAAAACAGAGCTCAGCCCTGTCCACAAGGGGCTGAGCTGTGTTTCGGGGAGGCACAGGTCTCCTGGAAGAGAGATGCATTTCTCCCCAAAATCAAGGAGGCACAGGTCTCCTGGAAGAGCTCTTGCTGCATCCCCAAAATGCCCCCCGGGCGCACGGCTCCCCGGCGGGGCGAGCTCGCAGCCTCGCAGCCTCATCCTGCCAGGCGGCCCCTGATTCACAGCCGTGGGACACAGAAAAAAAAACACTCCTGCTGTAATTCTGTTATTCCGTCTGCAAGTCGGGGGTGTGGAGAGGAAAAGCCGGCCTGAAAGCCGGCCTGGTGCCCCCCAAATCGGGGTTTTCTCCCTGCTGCACCCCACAGAAGGCGAAATGCTCACAGAGCCCGCGGGGGCTGCTCCTGCTGCCGAGCAGATGCTGCTCCGCACGTGCGAGGCAGGGTCTGGGGATGTGCTAAGCTGATTATCTCCGGGGCAGTTGACACAGGAATTAATTCCAGGGCTTGCACAGGGCCCCCCGCATCTCGGGAAGAGGCGGAGATGCCGCTACAGCCGCTGGAATGAACCCAAAACCCTGCAGGGTCCTGCTAGGGGGGGACCAGGCACTCAGTCTTTCTGCTTGAGACCATGGAAGAGGCTGCTCAGCTTTACTGAGAGCTCCTCAGCTGCTTTTTAGCTGCTTTTTCTGTAGCTTTTAGCTTTTTTTTTTACCTTTTAGCCGCTTTTTCATTAAAAAAAAAAAAAAAGGGGAGGCAAAAAAAAGGCTGAGGGCTCCCAACGCCCACAAAGAGCAGGACCCAGACTGCGTGGACTCAGGCTGCTGCCGGCCACCTGGTCAGAATTGGTTAAAACCACCGAGTTTTTGATAGTGTTGGTAAAAAAAAAACAACAGCAGAGCAGGAATTGTGCGCACAGATGGCCCCGGCCGCTGGCTTTGTTCAGGCACACACTGGAGCAGTGTCCTTCCTCAGCAGGCAGAAGCGACTGAAAGGCTGCAGCCTGGAAAAGAAGACAAGGAGATATTCTTCCCGAGCACCGGGACCTTGCTGCGAGCCTTTGGAAGTAGCCCCAGGGGTTCCCTGCTCCGGGGAGCGCACGCGGAGCTCTGCCTCCTCGCTCGAGTTTCCAAAAAATGTAGGGTGAGGGATGCTGAGACATCCGTCAGCCTGTCTGTACCAGCAGGGTGAGCCCCAGGTTCCCCTCCAAAAAGGATTTTTCTGGTGTTTGGGAAGCCACCTGCTCAGTCCAAGCCAATTCTTCCCAGCTTGCAGGACTGCCAGGACACAATAAAAAATATTGATATTATCAATTAGGATATATAAAGATCATTTATAACGTAAAAAATCGATTAGAATCTATCCTAACTGAATATATCCTGACTGAAACCAAGGCAACGCGCAATATAAATCATTATATGTTGATAATGAAAAAATATAAGATGTAAAAAATAAAATATTATTAATGTTATGATATTAATAATGAAAATAAGGCACGGGGGGGGCTGCAGAGAGGGGCGGGTGGCAGGGGAGACGAGGCTCCCCTTCGTGCCGGCTGGAGGAGCACGTCCCTGCTGATGGCTGGGAGCTCGCTGATGATTTATCGCTGATTTATTGCTGATTTATCGCTGATTTATCAATGATTTATAGCTGCTGCCGTGCTGCTGGTGGCTTTTCCAAGCATCCCTGGGAGCGCAGGGCTCATTTGCTGCCCGTCGGCGTCGGTGCGCTCCCGGAGATGGATGAGGCTGGCGAGAGGCTGAGGACAACCCGCGGCTGGTCGGGGATTTCTCCAGGCTTCTTCCCTTCCAGGCACAGCTCAGCAGCTCCAGGACCTGTCCTCAGCTCGTGGAGGTGCTCACAGCTGATTTTGTGGCAAAAGGGCTGAAATCAGTCAAGGAAGGGTCTAAGAGTATAGCTGGCAACCCCCTCATGCCAGCTGGCTGCATGGGGAACGGGCAGATTGGGGCCTCGTTGAGATTTCCTTCTCCTAAGGGTGATAAAGGGCAGGACAAGCTGCAGACACACTGCTAGGAAAAAACAACAAACAAACAAACAAACAAAAAAAACACAATTCTGCTGAAGGGAAAGTGCAGGAATTGGCTTCGTGGTGCTCCAGAAAGCGCCGTGCGCCTTGCTCAGAGCTGCTGCTGGGCTGCTGCTTCCCCTCGGAGCCCTCCTGGTGCAAAACCAGCCCTCCGTGAGCATCCAGGAGGGAAAAAAATATGGTTTATTGTCAGTTATCCACCCTTCTGGGGCACATTTTTTGGGGCAGGCAGCACACAGGAAATATTGAGTAGTAACACTGAAGCCTAGGATCCGAAAAGCAGGGCTCAGCCCCTGGGGGAGGGCTCCTGCAGGTCAGGAGGAAGCGTCTCATCAAGCACAGCCCAGGCAATCACCGAAATAACGTTATTATTGTTGTGAGGAGCAATAAACCCAGTGCACAGCCTTAATTAGAGGGCAGGCAGTTAATAAAGCCAGAGGCTGTGTTTCCTGAGGAGCCTGCTCCTCAGCTCGCCCCTGCAGCAGCCGATCCCTGCCCAGCTCTCTGCTCCTCGCGGCGTTTTTCTCTTGGTTCCCAAAAAGCCTCCCAGGAAGGGCTGGAGGATGGGTGTGGGGTGGGATGGAGCTGCTGGTGGCACCGGGGGACCGACCTTGCTCCCTTGGGGGGGTGTTGTGAGCTGCTCTGACTTCCAGAGGACAAACGAGGGCTGCTGGAGAAGGTGGAGGAGCTCCGAAACGCTCCTGGTCGGGGCAGCGCTGGGTCCGGCGAGGTGGGAACAGCACCAACTGCTGCTTCGTCTCCTTACGCAAATAAATTAAAGGAATTCCTGCCAACAGCAGGGTAAATCCCACCGGATAAACCCTGTTTTCCTCCGCACTGCGTGGAAAAACACGTCTGCAAAGGTTATGGTCCCAAGGACCTGCTCCACGTGTAAAATGAAGGCGCTGTGGGTGCACACAAGGACACCACCCCGCAGTCCAAGCTGCCAGGGCATCACACACCCATTTTTTGGGGGTTTGCAGTTAGTGCAGGAGCGTGCCCTGCAAGCACCACGTCCCCCAGACACCCTGCCGCGTGTCCCCACACAGCCCCGTGCCCGCCACAGCCTCAAATTCACGCCCCGTGCGCCTCCACCCCAATTATCCCCTCCCCGCACGGCTCTGCCATCCCATTATTGCATTAAGTCTTTAAGCCTGATGACTGTGGAGTTAAATCCCAACCCGATTAGCTGCACCAACGATGATTTTTACCAATCCTTCCCCAAATGCCACCCGAGGAAGCAGGCTGCGAGCCCCCTCGGGGTGCTTCCTCCTCCTGCATTCGGCGCGTTGGCCACCCTGTCCTACAGGACACGGCAACCCCCCTTGCTTCCCTGATATTTTTATGAGGATGTGGGTTCTTTACTCATTATTTTTTGTTAAAATATCCCTCTTGGCTAGTGCTTTAAAGCTCGTGTTAATGCCTGACAAGCATCCAAGGGGGATGTCAAATCCCTTGCGCGTGGGGGACGGCTTTCAAGTGGCCTCCCGGGAGCCCCGCTAAGATTTCCAGTGGAAATAAGAATTTGGCACGGGTGAGAAAACCTTCAAAGGGGGCGTGAAGCTGCGAGGGAGGTGGGCAGGGGAAGGGGATATCGTTAGGGTGGCCAACCGAACCGGATGGATTATGAGGTTGCAGACCCATTAACAACAAAAGAGGAATAAATCAGTAATTTGCGAGGAGCTGTGCTAATGCGTGCCTTTAAAAAATTATTCTTTTATAAGAATTAAATTAGGCTAATTAGGAAGTAATGAAGGACCTGTCAGCGTGCCCAGAGCGAGCAAGGAGGCGAGGGGACCCACAGCTTGGAGCTGAAGGCTTCCCAAATTGCTGGGGCCGAGCAATTCACCT